TCAGTTTTCAAATTGGGAGCTAGTCCTCCCCACTCTCAGATGTCTGTCTTTTCCAGGAAGATGGTCTCTACCAACTCCCCAAAGGTTTTGATCTTTGGAGGGGTAACTGTGAGAATCCTTTTCTCGAGAGATACTGCACCAGCTCTACACTCTCTAAATGTTCTCCAAGATCCTTAAACCCAGCTCAGAAAAGGTTCTTATTGCCTCTTTGTGTGGTGGAGATACGGTTTATACATCATCACATGTTTTTCCTCCTTATGTTTTATGTTATAAACTCTATGCACTTAGTGCTCCAGGATTTGCTTTTAAAGCGCCAAATTTTTTTTTTCTTTTTCAATACCATTGTATCTTCCCCTCTCAAGAGCCTATTTTGAGATTCAAAGTGAAGAATTTGACTTGCTGAATTCAGCTTTTGCTAGGTTCTTCGGTACCTTTCCCTCTCTAGGATAAAAGCTGCTATTAGCCTAAAGATCTAATTTTAATGGTGAAAATGTTGTAGGGTAAAAAGGAAATGCCAAGAAGTAAGAATACATCTGTCAATATTTTAAAATATTTTACAGCTACTTATATGATATAAACTGAATGACTTAGGTGGACTAGTACAAAATTTTGCTCTTTGGGGAGGAACTGGAAAGAATCTAGGCACATGTCTTAACGATATTAACTTTAAATAGCTTTTGAAATTTACCATAAGAGGCAGATTTTTCTCTCCCTCTTGGCTTTGATAATATTCCCTATGTCACTCCCTTCTTTTCCATGATCCTCCATAACCTGGGAGTGTTAGTTGGCAAAATTCCATACAGTAAGCAAGATTTACTGCCATTTAAGAGCCTCATACTGTCTCCTTGGGGAAAGACAAAACCCTGTGGCTAAAAATGTCAAGTCTGGGATCTTAAAGTTCTACCAGAGAAACTGTGGGGAATGTTAGTCTCTTGGTGGGGGAATAGGTTGGATCACTGGAATGTCTTTTTCCCAGCTAGTTAAATTTCTATGATTCAAGGAAAAGAGACCTTAAAAGGAATGGAGAAAGTACAATTTTTATGGAACAAAAGTGAACATTAGTTACTTTAATATTTTGAAAAGCATTTTTATGAATTTTTAATAAAATTTGCAAATGATGAAATATCATATTCAAAAGAATCAATTAAATGCTTATATTATCATGGATTTAAGCCCCTAATTATTGGGGAAAGGTAAAAATTCCCAGATTTCTGAGTTCATGATAGTAAACTTCTATATCTTTCATAATATTCACAGAATGCTCATGACAAATGCAGTGCAAATGGAGATGTTTTATTCCCAACATGGACTGTTGAAATGAAACTCACTTATGTTGAGTATCACCACACCAGGTATATACCTCATTGAAAAATGATTCCTGACTGATATATATGTTTGCATGTGTAAGAATGTGTATGTATATGCATGCATATGTATAATTTTATATACACATATAATTTTTGAACATTGAAAGGTATTTTACCCACTAGAAAGAGTTTGATATTTCAATCTCTCAAATAATTTTATATCATGGAATAGTGGTTAAGAGCATGGGTGCTGGAATCTGATTGCCTGGGCTAAAACCATTAATTAGCTGTGTGACCTTGGGCAAGGTACTGAAACTTTCTGTATAGCAATAACCTCATCTCTAAGATTGGGGCAATAACTGCATCTGCCCCATGAGGTGGTTGTGGGTATTAAGTAAATTAGAACATGGCATTTTGTATAAAATTTTGTATAGAATACAAAATTTTGTATTCTATACAAAAGTTTGTATAGAATACAAAATAAATGTGAACTTTCAGTAACATTATTAGTATATGCAAGGCCCATACTAGCCGCTTTGGGGGATAAAAGAGACACAGTCTTTACCCTTATATGGTTTACTATCTAGTTGGGAAACTCAAGCTATAGTCTTATATAAAGTGAAATATTAATACCTGAGAAGGAAATCAACAGTTCAGTTCAGCTGCACAGACCAGCCTCTTATATATAGAAGCCATATGAGCTGGGTGACCTGGACCAGAGGAATATCTTTATATAAAATGTTAGTCTCACATTTGTTTCCCTTCACCTGAGGCTTATCTCTCTGACATGATGAAAACAGGCTCAAGGCACATTGTATAATAAACAACATTTGCAGTGGCCCAGCCTATATTAATCTTGCAGTGGTTTAACCGTGGGTGAGCAGTAAAGGACAGGGCTACTGATGCTGGATTAAGGCTCTTGACAACAGAGGTTGGTTGAGCTGTGAGTGCTCTGAAAAGCAGGCCAGCCCACCAATTTCTGCAGTTTGCAGAGGGACAGTGACTGCTTCAGCCGATTTTTAAGTTTTTTTCTGAGATTTGCAGACAATTCCAGACTGTAATTATCCAGTTTAAGAGGTAATTCTGTATAAGGCCTGGCACAAAACTGCCTATCTAATTGCCAGATAAATATTACAGTTAACAACTTCTCTGTGAGATCAAGGACAGGACTACTTCCCATGGTCTGGGATGTTCATGGAAGGCCTTGGGAAGAAGTGGTTATGAAAGGGCCTTCAAAAAGAATTTAAGGTAATCTTTGGATTAATCCCTTTTAAATAAAATATTAATTCCCCTAATTTAATTTTTTTATACAGAGGAATGCCTTCATTTATTAATTAATTTTTAATTTTAAGTAGGTCCCAAGTCCAATGTGGGGCCTGAACTCACGACCCTAAGATCAAGAGTCATATGCTCTACCAGCAAGGCAACACCATCCCCTAGCTTAATTTTTAAATTTATCACTCTAGATTTTCCGCTACTTTCTGTCCCTGACTGGTGCTCATATCAAAAGATAATTCTGTGTCTAAGTTACGAGTTTAAGTTCTCATATGTTGGTCTGAGTATATAACCTTCACCTATAAAACTGCTTCTGGGGGGGAAAACAGGAGTATTCTGAATTCCAGACAATCAATTAATAAACCCATTTTTTAAAACTCTACTTGGGTTGGTTCTTTCACTCAACAAGTAACGAGTGCTTTTCGTTAGTATCAGACACTGTTGTAGGCCCATATGGACAAAAGAAAGATACCTGCCCTCATGGAGTTGACATTCTGGAGAGGAGAGACCGTTAAAAAACACACAGAATCAATAACTGGTAGTGTGTTGGAAGGCAGTAAGTGCTAAGGGGTAAAGAAAGAGTAGTGAAGGGTAAGAGGGAATGGGATGGGTGGCAATTTTAAACAGGATGGTCACTGTGAAGGTTACACTTAAGCAAAGTGTGAAGGGAGCCAGCCAAGATGACCAACCCCAAGGCAGGGGAAGTATTTAAGGCAGAAGGAAGAGCCAGTGCAAAGGCCCTGAAGCAAGAGCTTACCTAATGAGTCTGAAGAATAGCAAAGAGACCAGTATAGTAGGAAAGGGGTGGGAGAGACAAGAGGATGAGGTCAGAGAGGTAAGGTGGGTAGTGGCAAGAGGGAACTTGCTAGATCATATAGAGCCTTGCAGGACTGTAGAGGCTTCGAGAAAGTCAGTAGTCACTTGCACTGGGCTGGCTTAAAGCAAAGCCTGCTTGTATCAAAATAATTTCTCTTTTCCCCAGTGTCCTATACTTCAACTTTAATGTGGATATACATAAACTGAGATCTTGCTAAAATTCAAATTCTGATTTAGTAGGTTTGGGGCAGGGCCTGAAATTCTCCATTTTTAACAAGCTTCCAGGTGATGCCAGGCTGCCAGTCTACAGTTACATATTGACAAGTAAGAGTAAAGAGGTGTTGAGTTCCCAGGCGCTCTGGAACTTACTTCTCCATTAGCTGGGTGCAAGGGCCTTCTTGTTCCTTGTGAGCCTGAAAGGACAACCTCAAAAGGTATTTGTTCACTTTCCTATCGGTCATGGTCTCACCACTGGACTCACTATTTCAAGGTCCTATCACTTGGCTCTTAAGAGCATGGTCTAGAACTCCCTCCAAGAACAAGAGATAGGTTGTATGGCTGTTTCCATGCAGAGTCTAAGAAGTTTCTAGGGCCTCCTCACTGCCTATGGAGGCTCTGACCACATTCCTATCTTACTCCAGTTACAGAAGTTCTGACTTGTGGCCTTCACTCCTGGTCCTATGCCTTGAGCGAAAGCCCAGCCTTGTAAACTAGGCCTGAGGCAGCTAGAGGATCTGGGTTATGCTCCCAGGTAGAAGAGAGAATGCCCTGCTAATGACTGTTTTACGGACAAGGCTGGCCTTCTTAAGAGCTAGTGCAGTAATCTGCAGCGGTGCAGGCCTGGGAGGACTAGCCACTTATGAATATAAAGCAGGGGTTATGAGTCAAGATGGGCCTGGGTTTTGAATTGTGCTTCTATCCCTTACTGTGTAATCTCAGGAATATTCCTTGGGGTCCTGGGGTCACAGTTTTCTCATCTGGAAAGTGGGAATGACAACAACACTTCCCTCATTTATTGAGAGGATGCATATAAAGCATGTAGTCAGGCACCTGGTTCATAATGATGCTCACAAAATACTGGTTATTATTTTTATAATCACTAGTAACATCCCACCACCTATCAGATCGCTTTGTGGCCTGGCCCCATGGTACCCACCTTTACATTCTCTGGAGTTCAGGCACCATGGCAAATCCCTCGGCAAAGGCTTTCAAAGAGAAAACAGAGGGGTCAATGGCAGTTTCATCGTGGCAAATGTCACTAGAAGTAATTAAGGAACTGAAGATGGTGCGTTTAGAAAGGAGACGATGGTGGGATGGACGTGATGGCTGTCGTCATGTTGTCTTGTGTGAGAGAAACGAGACGCGTTCTACGAGACCCCGCCGGCACGCTGCGACCAACCGGAAGCAACGAAAGGAACGCACACCCGCCTCCAACAGACAAAGCGAGGGAGGGCGCGATGGAAGAGGGGGTGTCTGTGAGGGTCCGCTCCTGCGCAGCTGCGGCGGCGGAGCCAATCGCTGCGCGCAGCCCGTCCTCGCGCGACGGTACAGTCGTACAGTCGTGACGTCGGCGGTTGCCATGGAGAGGCCCGCTCGCTGTGGACCGCGAGCTGGCGCCAGGGGCGGCGGGGTCAGAGCGTGGCTTTGAAGCCGCTTCCGCTACCACCATGAGCGGCCGAAGTAGGGGTAGAAAGTCCTCCCGCGCCAAAAGCCGGGGCAAAGGCCGCGGCAAAGCCCGAGTCCGCGCTCCTCCTGACGACGTCCCCCGCGACCCGGACCATCCACAGTGCCAGAGGCTCGGGGAGGAAACCCAGGCGGCACAGGTGCAGGCTGGCGCGGGTTGGGGTGGCCTGGAAACCGCTGCGCCCGCGCCGTCCCGTCGGCCCGGAGAGGACGCTGCCTGCCGGCTCCCACTGGACTGTGGCCTCGCGCTCCGGGCCCGAGCTGCGGGGAATCGCGGGCAGGCCGCGACCAGGCCCAGCCCGGGGAAGGCCACATCCCTCTCGGAGCGCCTAGCAACAGACACTGTCTTCGTGGGGACCGTGGGAGCCGTGGGAAGGCCGAAAAATGGCCCCCGCGTTGGAAATCGGCGTGGCCCCGCCGGGAAGAAGGCCCCAGAAACCTGTAGCACAGCGGGGAGGGGGCCTCAGGCCATAGCCGGCGGGAAGCTGAAGAAAGGGGCCACAGGGGAGAGTGTCTCCGTCCCTGTGGTAGAGGAAAAGAAGGTGGAGAAGGATGCAGGGTCGGGGCCCCTGGCGACAGATGGCAGCATGGATACGCTGGAGACGGTCCAGCTGAAACTGGAGACCATGAACGCCCAGGCAGACAGGGCCTACCTTCGCCTCTCGCGGAAGTTTGGGCAGTTGCGACTGCATCACTTAGAGCGCAGGAACCTCCTCATCCAGAATATCCCGGGTTTCTGGGGGCAAGCTTTTCAGAACCACCCCCAGCTATCATCCTTTCTGAACAACCAAGATAAAGAGGTTCTCAGCTACTTGAACAGCTTGGAGGTGGAAGAGCTTGGCCTCGCCAGATTGGGCTACAAAATCAAGTTCTACTTTGGGCGCAACCCCTATTTCCAAAATAAGGTGCTCATCAAGGAATATGGGTGTGGTCCTTCGGGTCAGGTGGTGTCTCGTTCTACTCCAATCCAGTGGCTCCCAGGGCATGATCTCCAGTCGTTAAGCCAGGGGAACCCCGACAACAGCCGTAGCTTCTTTGGGTGGTTTTCAAACCACAGCTCCATTGAGTCTGACAAGATTGTGGAGATAATCAACGAAGAACTGTGGCCCAATCCCCTGCAGTACTACCTTATGAGTGAAGGGGCCCGTGCAGAGAAAGGAAAGGAGGGCAGGCAAGGTCCAGCAAGGCAGCCAGTGGAGACCCCTGAGCCTGGGGCAAACAAGTCCAACTGATCCTGCACTAGTCTCCCTACTACCTCCTGTTGGACCTGTGCCCAGCTAACCACACGTGTTTGGCTGTCTGCCTTTTCATGTTGGCCTCTATGCACTGTATTCCCTTTGGACTTCAGTTACAAGAATATGGTATTTATGATCATGTTCTTTTGCCTCCTCGTGGCCTTCTTGCTTTTTCACATTAGTGTTACATGTTAAATGATCTCACCCCTACTGTTTATATGTTAAGCACACATGCTTCAAGTGTGTGCTGCCTTTGTCTACATTGCCTGGACCATGTTCTTGGCTCTGGCCTTTCCCAGCTGTCTCTAACGTGGACGCTCATGAGTCATCCTCCAAGAGGACCAGTGCATCCTTAAGCTCTGCTACTTCGGGGCCAGTGACTTGCTGAGCTTTGTGTTCATGCTGGCCATGCATGCCATCTGTGGCCAGTTTTTCTGTTGCCACTGCAGAATGAAGTTAGCGCACATGGTATTGGTCATCAGCCAAAACTAATTGTTCCAAAGCCCTGGGGTCACCGGCCTAGTTGCCACCACCTACTGGATCTCTGACTTTGGCCAGGGGCCTCAGCTGTCCTGCTGGATGTGCAGAATAGCACTTGACTGCTGGGCATGGATGAGGTTGAGAGTGAGAAGCAGTATGCCGTGTGTTCTGTACCATCGTTTGTCTCTTCCTGCCTCTGGGCCCTTCTGCTATTGAACATTCGTCAAGGTCTATACCATGCCTCGTCACTGTCAGGCCACTGAGACTTGTCTAGGTTGCTATTGGCCCCAGTTGGCCTCGTGGTCAACGAGGACCTCAAGAACTGCCTGTGGACCCAGGCCCCCTGCCAGTGCATGAGACACACACCAACCCTCCCCAGCCTTCCAGGAACCCTGCTGCCTGCCAGACTGATGGGCAGGTGTGTGAACATGTGCTCACTGTCATCGTGCCGTGGCTGCAGGTGAGGGTGGGCACTGGACCCACATACAACCTAGGTACCTTTGTCAACTCCACTTATCCCTTCTTAGCACAGGACCAGAGTGCTGTAGTGGGCTTGCTGGGGAAGAGGTATTTCTGACCTGTGGGCCTGTGTCTACTTCCTCTCACACCTCTGTACCTTACTTGCCCTTCCTTCACTCCCTCTCTTCCTTCTTTCCTCCCTTCCTTTCCTGTCCTTTCTTCTTCCTCCACTTCTCCCTTCCTTTTTTGTTTCAATATTACCACAGCTCAGAAAGAGAAAACAACTGAGAAACCACGGTTTTCTGCATACAGCTAGCGAGACAGCTGGGACTTGTGCACACTCACACTCTGTGCTGACAGAGGGTAGAGGAAGCCAGAAGGCTAAGTGGGTCTGTGGTCAGACCTTGGTTCCGACTCCTGGGTTCACTCTATAATTCTCAATTGAAAATTCTTTTCATGGCTACACATGTGTTAGAATTATAAGCCCTAAGGCAGCAGTGTTGTGGACTAGTGTTTACTCCTGTTCCAACTTTTGTGTGTGTGTGTGTGCCCCTTAAGACCCAGTGACCTCATATTTCCTCCTCCGTGGTAGCCTCTGGCCATCTGGCCCTCATTCCCCAGCTTTCTACTCTCAGCATTCCTTTGCTCTCTTTCCTTTTCTACCTTCAAATACCCTTAGGAATAGGCTTCCATCCTGGGGCATGGGGACAGGGTGGGCGGAATCTGTCCTGGATCTCCAGGGCTCATTTCCAGTGAGTATAAAAGCTGAGCCAGGCCCTCTTTCTCCTTTGCATCCCTGAGGGTTGACGGGTAGGACTGTAACTACACTTGCCCTCCCCTAATCTCCTTTTCCTTATGGGAGACCTTGTTCTGAGTTCCGCAAGGGCTGGGGAGGCCTTGACCCAAATTTGTAGAGAGGGTGTGCCAGGCGGGGGACTTGGAGCAAAAACACAGAGCAGGAATGGGTCTGGTGTGGAAGGGATCTAGAGATGCAGGTAGAAATGGTTTGAGAAGCCTCAGGGAGACTATGCCTGTCTCTCAGTGAGGGCAGGGATGGGGAGGGACCTTCCCCAGAGTGAGGAGGGGAGAATTAAAGGGGTCATGGGCCAATACAGTGCCTAGGTGAGGGTTTGCCCACGGTTTTATCCCACGGTTTTATCCGATCATTAGCTCATCATTAGTGGATTTTATAAATCACAGAAACAAATCCAAAACAGAATAATGTTACTTTGGATGCTTTCTCTTTTGTTCTAGGTGTGGCCTTGCGTATGTGGAAGATTGATGCTATATGCTGCTTATTTTGCCATAAGTAAAATCTTACCACTTCCCCCATTTTTGCCTAATGGGAAAATGTAGCTGTATAGGTCTGCTTTTTTCTTTTTCTTTCTTTTTTTTTTTTTTTTAACTTTTTGCTCTTTATTATGGACATTTTCAGACAAGCACAGAAATGGAGAGGATGGTACCTGGCCCCTGTGTACCCATCATCTAGCTACATCAATTATGATCAACCTGGTATCTTCCTCTCCCCGCCTGTATTGTTGATGGAAAATCCGACACTGTGCCAATTCAACCTTGACTACTTTGGGAGATCAGGACTCTCTTTTGGTGGTGATAGTGTTGGGGGGCACTATCATGATCCCATCAGGTCTGCTTTTTGCTTTAAATGTTAACAAATGAAGTTCCAGAAATGGGCCTTAGAAGTGAAAGTCTTCAGGATAAACAGGGAGTCTCAAAAAGAGATGAAAAGATGCTCCCTTTCCCCTGTATCCACAAAAGGAGAGAGAGAGAGAGACTGTTGTAAATCTTACAGACTGATATGATAAGGTGCTTACTTGGGACCCTTCACCAGAATATCAGTCTTTTTTGCTTGTGAAAGATGGAGGCTTGTGTGACTGTTAGAAATATCATCAGCTTGTCCTGGTCTCATAATATAACTGGTCTTGGAAGTATAATTTGGAAATTGTTTCTGTGTTCTGTGAAAATAACCTCCCCAAAGCAATCAGTTACTGGTTGTCTTACTTGGTAATTTGACACCCTGGTAATAATGCAATTATTCCTTTGTTCCTAAACGGTATAAATAGTTGTAAGCTCACATGCATGATGGAAAAATAAAAGCCTGTATCTCTGTTATATTTTTTATTTTAACAAAAGAATTGGAAGGTGAAGGTGAGGCTAGCTAGTTGAGGGGATGTATACATTGGCCTTGAAGAGTGCTTCCTAGGTCTCAGGCCCTGGTGTGACTAGCTCCATAACAATGATTCTCATATCCTTAGCAGAGATTGAGATTCTGTGGTTGGTGCTGGGAGGAAGCCAGGTAGTCCTTGTTTTTAACGAGTTTTCCAGGTGATTTTAGTGGAAATCCAGTGTTTCTCAAATTTTAGAGTACATCTGGATTGTGTGAGGAATCCTGTTAAAACTATGAATTCTGATTCAGTAGTCCAGGGTGGAACCTGAGATTCTGCATTTCTAACAAAATTCAGGTGATGCCAGTCCTGGTGGTTTTTGAACTGTACTTTGAGTAGCAAGGGAGGTGATGTTTAAGTCCCATTCAGACTAGAGTAACAGTGCTCAGCCTTGGTTGCACATTAGAATTATCTGGGAAACTTAAATATACTGCCGGAGCTCTGCACAAATGCCGACTAAATCAGAATGTGGGAAGGGGTTGGTCCAGGTGTAGGTGTGTTAGAAACATCCCAGGTGATTCTGTTGTCTAGCCAGGGTTGAGAACTAGGGTCTCTGATGCTGTTCATTACGCATCTATAAGAAGGTTAATTCTACTCATCAAGAGAAGCAGCAGCAGGCAACAAAAGGCCATGAAAAGCTGCCCAGCAGAAAATAGTTGGAAAAAATTAGAAGTGGGTTGTTAAATGACAAAAAAATAAAATTGGTTTATATGATAAAGGGCACGAACTAATAAATGTGCAGTGTTCGGAGCATAGTAGGTGTTCAAATATTAAATGAATGAATGAGTTTAAAACAGTTTATAGTCAAATGCCTTAGGGCTAGCCTGGTAACTAAATTTGCAAAGTAGGCCAGATTTGTTTCACGGGGATATGTGTATTCGTTTGTTAGGGCTGCTGTGATGAAGAACCCCCGACGGGGTGGCTTAAACAACAGAAATTGACTTGCTCCGTTTTGGAGGCTAGAAGTGTCGGATCAAGGTGTGGGCAGGGTTGGTTTCCTCTGAAGGCCTCTCTCCGGGCTTGTAGGTGGTCCTACTCTTCTCTCTGTCTTTACATGGCCTTCCCTCTGTGCGAGCTTGGGAGCTGTGGACAGAGGTGGAGATTGTGTGTAGCTGTTCTGCAGGGCTAGATTGTTTACCTGGGGGCAGTGCAGGCCTAGTGTGGCTACATCTTCAAAGGGCAGTGGGAGGAATCAGGATTTTTATGCAGAATCTCCCAATTTTGAATGCTTTCAACTAAAAAAAACAAAAAAATTAAACACCCAGAGCCTTGCTACTAATGGTATGTGGAGTGCAAAAGGGTATGGAGAGCAGCCTCTGTTTGATGCTCAAGCATCTGCTTGGGATTCATGCAGAGCCCTCTGGGGTTATTCATTGAGAGGGGCTCTCTGCCCAATTTAGCTCACACACTTGCTTCTTCAGAGGTGTGAAGGCTTCACTCCCAAGGCCGCCCTTTCATGCCCCTCTCTTTGGTTCTTTGGAGATCCTGTCTGATCTGGGGTTCACTCCCTCCCCATGGGCTCATTCATTCATTGCCTCCTGTATGTGCCAGTCTCAGTTGTAGACATTAGAAATATAGCTATGAACAAATAGAACTTTGAATTCTGCCCCCCCCTTCTAGGTTTCAACCTCTTAGATTTTTGCCTGGGATTGTCAGTCAATCTCTTTTTTTCCCTTTTCCTGCATAGGGCTGCCGAGTGCTTTAGATCCATATGGGAGGTAAAGGAAGCCTCTTTACCCTCTGACCTCTAGGTCAGAATTCACAGGGCGATCAGGTTTTTAATAACCTGCAAAGTGAGGGCTTCTTGGAGTAATTCTTGTTAGGCTGAATCCTTTGCCCTTTTCTCAACTTTGAGCTTTGTTACAAAAGGCCTTC